GGCTCAATGAAAGAGACGGCAGAAGGATCAGGCAGTCTCCCCTCGCTTTAGGGCGCTGTCCCTTTGTGAGGCTTGGCCACATCGGACACCAGCGTGGCTGCCCTGGCAGAGGAAGAGGTTGGCCATGCAAGAGAGTCACCCCAAGCTGGATTTGGAAGAGAAATCATAGTCCAGCCCCTGGCACCGAGTGTGGCTGTGAATGTCTCCAAGCCTGGGGACTCCACAAGCCCGCTGTGCCAGCCAGTGTCAGTCTACGAGGCACACACCAAACCTGGGCTCTTTAATTGTCCATTACATACACTCTCCAATGGTAATTCCTCAGCCCACTAACCAGTCGTGAAACACATCTAGATATACCGCAGGATGGGGAGGATCCTTCTTCAGTTGCTTTTCAGTTCCAGAAGATAACATTAAAAGCATAGTTGTAAGTTGTGGCTGGTCTTCGATGAAGCCCTGTCCTCAGTGCATAGATCATGGAATATTGGGATGCTAATGCCAACTTGTCATCTGAATGTCTGGGAAAGACATTTCTCCATTTTGCAGCTTCTGAGGAAATACCTGGAACCTAACTCAGACAAAGTCCAGACTAACGTAAACCATTCAGGTTCTGTTTCCCTTAAAAAAGGGATCAAATCATGAAGTTGAACTATTTCTTCTGACTACATAGCGAAGTTATGAACAAGGAATTATAAAGTTAGGAACAGCTGCAAATTGCTGAAACCCACTGGACAAAACTAATGTTTAGTTAGGAAAAAAAGCCAATTTGTTATGCCTTAGTGCTAATGAACATGAAACTGTATAATCTGTTTAATTTCAAATAATATTTCTCAACCATAAAACTTGGCAAAATATTCTTAACTATTTAACAAAACTGCTGAGAATATTACATGAAGAACTTGCATTTAARTATCTTTCTATRTGTATCTTCCCAGCTTGTATGTGGTAGATAAGAAGTTTGGGAAATGGAGTGAGTTTTCTCCTAGGCAGTCCCACAACTATATGACAACAATACTATGCTGCTAACTGCAGTAGCCAGTCCACTTTTCATGATGTAAAAAGAGATACTAAAAAGCTGTAGTACTTTGATCTCCTTTTAACATTTAATTTTTGAACTTAATACCAAAATCACAACAGGGAAAGRAAATGAGGGGGAGAAGAGAGGTACTTTTTAAGAGAATGGTTCAAAACAATTCCAGGAGAGGTTCAGACTGGACACGAGAAAGCCTTTCTTTACCCAAGAGGGAGGTCAGACACCATAACAGGTTTCTTAGAGAGGTGGTCAATGCYCCAAGCCTGACAGTGTTTGAGAGGTGTTTGAAAAATGTTCTTAACAAAACACTTTAACTTTTTGTCAGACCTGAACTGATCAGGCAATTGGATTAGATGGTCAATCTAATACAGAAATAGTCTAGTCTACTCTGTTCTGAAGGAGAAGGGAAATAATCTAGATGTTGGTGGTAATCAGCACTGCCAGTAACTGGAAGCAGCTGYCTGCTARAAGCTATCTTGGATTTATTTTGGASGGTTAAAAGTGAGTGACCAGTGTYCCTCTGAAAATATTTTRAAAAATAATCGTTGAGAYAAAGTTTATAAAGATGGCAAGATTCAGRAGAATGAAGAGTAAAAAGTAAAGAGAATAAATCWCGGGGTGAAGTGGAAGAATGTAACRAAAAGCAAAGTAAGTTAATTTCGTAGTATCTTAGAATGGATTGGGTTGGATGGGACACCTCTGCCTTGGGCAGGGGCACCTTCCAGAGACCAGGTTGCTCAAAGCTGCAGCCAGCCAGATCTTGAACACTTCCAGGGATGGGGCATCCATTACTCTGTTCCAGTGTCTCAGTTCACTCACAGTCAAGAATTTCTTGCTATTATCTAATTTAAACCTGCCCTCTTTAAAGCCATTCCCCCGTATCCTATCACTACGTGATCTTGTAAAAAATCCGTCTCCAGCTCTGTTGTAGCCTCCTTTAGCTGAACTAAAAACTGAACAATTCTTGGTAAACAGCAGTTATTAGCACAGGATTAGGATCATGGATACAGTAGGAAATAGATGGGAGAAATATAAACAGAATGTAGACAGAGTAGGTGCAGTGGTTTCTATGGCAGAATAGGAAAGGGAACTTTTAGCAGCAGCACTCAGTATTGGACTTAACAGAACTATTATGCTCGTTTTTCTGCTTCAACTTAATGTATCAGTGCTGAAGACACAAGTGGCAGAGCGCTCATTTCTGATGCTCAGCACAACCTAACCCTCCCAAGGGTTCACTGGTGTGAACARTCAGCAGCTGCTCAGGAAAACAAAGTTTGGCGTACTTTAAACACAGAGATTGTATCAAGACTATGGCACACTTCACTGATTTTTCATCCATCTTGGGAAATTTTTGTGGGARTACAGAGGCAGATGCTTGCCTTGGAAATTTATTTGTGGTTTCATAGGAGCTTCTGTCAATGTTCTTAGTGTTTTCTTAAGAAATGCCTGCTCAGTCTCCATTMTGAATTAGTATAAAAAATAAAATCAACAGAAATTTTTGAATTTGACAGATGCTTTGTTTTCAAAAGTAATGATTTGCAAGCCAGGGGGAAAAARTCTATGGGGACTGGTTTTGATAGCTGTTTTCTGAGGTAGCCTGGAGCTATTGATGATTAGTACAATCAGCAAAAAGCTATTAGTGTGTTTTTTGTCAAATTGCATCAGATGTCAATTAAGAAGTGGATTCTGCAGAACTCATTTACTGTGGGATAATTGGTTTAGGCTGTCTTTGTGAGAGTCTAGAGTTCTCATCGGTCTCTAGGCCAGATCAACTATTTGCACCCTAATGTTTCCATCTCTCTGTGCTGACCACAGCGATGACCTTGGGTGAGTGGTTTAGCTAGATATGGCTGCATTTTAGATACCCAYATTATGTGAGATGAATTCCACCCCCTTCAGGCACCTTAGATAGCTGAGYCTATGTATGAAAGAGATTATGCTGTCATTGCAAGTGGTAATGATTAAAAATGAGGAGAATCAGACACCATTTATTTATGAAAATGAGAGGAARAATCCCACATACACACACATTAGTATGAAACACATTAGACATCGGTGATATGTCTTYTCCACTCTGAATCTAATTTAAACAGCAGCATTTGCAATAAGCATGTTTTTTCATATTCCAAGCACTGAACTAATAATGGTTTTAGGTATACAGGACTTTTTGAAAAGAGAAACATTCAAGCAATTTACTTGAGTAGAAACACTGGGATTCAGGATTAAGAATTGAAAGGGTAGAGGGCCTTCTTTGTATTGTGGAGTTTAWCCCAGTGGAGTTAACCAACCTAGCCCTCTTGTGCTGGAGCAATGTGTGAGGTGTGTGGGCCATGTCTTACTCATATCCAATGTGAGGTCCAAATGACAGATGCAGAGAAGTTGGTGCTCAGATGCATTGGTCTCTTTCCCAGGGACTGTTCAGTTGTTTGAGAGACTGTAGACTGAATGATGTGTCCTTGCTCTGGCAATGCTGTCTCTCACAGCAAACAGCAGTAACAGCAACAGTGGCTGCCAGATCTGGACAGGACTATGACTCTCAGCCATCACCTGTCCCCARGTGTGATCACTGTGGCACTGGCTCACTCTGCACTCATTTTCACTACGGTTCTCACCACAGTGCTCTCTGTCTTTCTGTAAGAGGCATTTTGGATCAGCCTTTATGGTCTCTCAGTACCTTGCAGAGGGGGATCAGGAGCATACTTCTTGTCTAACCTGTGATTCTGTCYAGTTCTTGTTCAGTCATGGTGTTCAGTCCAACTACAGAATAATTACATTAAAATGTACATATATCAAAATATTTTCATATGATAACACATAGAGCTGGCATGCAGACCAGCCTCACTGGTGAGCTCTCTGTGCTTCCTGCATGRTGGTGATACCAGCCAGGCTTCTCCTCTGAAGATCCCAGGCTGTGCTGAATTTGGTCAACAGAATACTTCTGTTGTGAACTCTCAATTTTTGTAGTTAATTTACAAATACCTTTTGAAAAATCAGTCTTTTCTACTGTGTGAGTTCTTTTTTCTTTTGAGAAAGGTAACTTTAATTTATCAGATTCAGTAAGCTGGGCATATATACAATAGGATCCAGCAGCATGTWCTATTTGCAGATATAGACCAGGGAAAATGCTTTCCCTACTAACTCGTCCAAGGGTAAGCAGAGCCGTGTATTCCCAGATATCTGTAGCACATACCAGGAAACAGTTTTATCTGTTGTCATCTGCATGGGAAGCAGGTGGTGTTTTTCTCATTTRCACAGTTTTGTGCAAAGTTCTCCCAGCAATTTCCTATTTCCTCCTGAAAATGGCAATGACTTTCTTTATCGCAAGGAGTTGGTATTACGGGACTTACTATAGTAACTTAAGGAACTTTTATCTGAAGGCTGTTATCTCTGGGCTGTAGAAAGTGTTCAAATTACATAAATTGTAAAATATACTTTTGGTTTACTTAATTTTTAATTCTATTTTAAATAACCTGTTGATGGGAGTTTTGGGTTTGGGTTTTTTTGGTGTTTTGTTTTATTTTATTTTGTTTTGTTTTGTTTTGTTTTGTTTTAAACCAGGTCTTGGTTAAAAGACCTTATGTCTGTGTGGCATAACTTGGTTAAGTAAGAAAGGGAAAGGCATACAATCTTCAGACATATATCTATTTGGGATTGGTGAGAGTTCTTTACTAATTTAGCCAAAGGTGTAGAATAATGTGTGGAATAATGCTAGTCCATCCAGCAAAGGAGTGGCTGGGGAARAACTGAACTCTCAGGAGGAAAAATTACTAGGATGTCCCATGTTTTAATAAAGCCCTTGTTAAAACATCTGAAATATTCCTTGAGGAAGGGGATACTTCCATTCTAAGTAACTATTAATAACATCTTTAGTTAGAAGCCTTTATTGCTTGATGGATATATAGAAGAAATGCAAATAATAGAGGTAATTCAAGTGTGTTCTCAAGGTGCTCAGGCACAGACACACGTCCTGGTGCAGAAACCTTTTCCACTTCTTCCAACTATTTTCTTCCCTTGCAGAGAYTTTTAGTGTGGCCTCATCTTTTTGTCAGTTGGAGACTGTAAGCACATGGTGTGAGTGAGAAATTCTGACAGAAGGACCTAAGAAGGAATCTGTTTTCCAACACATACATTTGGTAGAATCTCCTCTACTTTAGTTCTGCTCCTCCATATGCTTCTTCAGTGAGGCGTGTTAGTGCCRTGTGCCTTCTTGTGGCTTGGGRAAAGGTGTTTCCATTCCTCAGGAGKATRATACATGTCTTAAAATGTGCAGAATTATAAACTGCCCGCTGAGGCAAACGTGCCACTGTGCACAACTGAAGAAAAGCTGAGAAGGGTCTAGGCACCATATTATTGAATGAAATCACAACAAAAAATGAGAGAATGTATTTTCAAAAAGTATATCAGTGATTTTCTATCACTACATCAAAGAATTATATAATGCACTATAAAATAGCCATTTATTGTACATGTTTGGGTTTTAAAAGGAGCAGCTCTGCATACTGAAAGAATTATTATTGAAATAAAACCCAATGGCAAGATCATCTCCTGTTCTATATTATTAACTTGAAGTACAGAAAAATACAGGTATTTGCAGAGTACTACAATAGTGCAAGTCTGTAGGAAATGGCATAATTCAAAAATTCAGACGAGAAGTAAAATTAAATGAGGCTCTTCAATTTTTTTTACAACTTTCTGTCTTTTTTTTTTTTTGGTATGCAAATAATACTTAATGGATTAATGCAGACATCGTAACAGGTTTTACATGAATAAAAAGATAGTATCATAAACTATGTAGCTGAAAACCTGAAATGAGGCAGTGTTTCATAGTTGGACTTGATGATCTCAGAGGTCTTTTCCAACCTAGTGAATTCTGTGATTCTGTAATTCCCATCATAGTCTAGATACCACTGAAGTAACAAAAGGGAAAACAATTTAAAGTTTTGAGTAATGATTTCYTCTGGGTTCTAAAAAGGAGAATTTCTACACTGAGTTAAATAAAGTAATTTTCACATAGTAAATATCTTTCAGAGTTTTCACAACACCACTGGAGTCAACTTTTCAGCCATGCCCATTTGTTTGAAAAATGTATATACACTCCCGAGACTAAACAACTCTAGCACTTTGGGAGGAATTTTGGAAGATGTATATGTGTAACTATGCATTTGAGAAGAAAGGAGACTATTGTCTGAGTAGGAAAACAAAAAGCTGGGGAAAGCTGGGGTAAGATTTCACTGATTCAGAGCCTGGTTTTTGTTAGTTGGAACCCATGGGCGTTTGGTCAGACTACATGTCTGTTTGTGCGTCTTTTCCTTGAATATCCACAGTTGCTTCTGATCCACTCATTCTGCTTGAAATATGTGGCAGGTTTTGTCTTTTCCTCCTCAAGTAGAAATAAATTATACTTCCAGCTCCAACTATAGAAAGCACTAGAAGAACGAACAGCCAGATGCCAGCCGAAAATACTTTCTCCATTTTCTCTACTGTAAGGATATACAATGGAATAACCTTTGAGGTTAAAAGATTTCAGAATCTAGCAATAAATGAGACTTCTATAACCAGAAAGCAGAAAAATTCAATGTGCATATAGATTTTCAGTTCAGTATGTGCTTTGGGTTTTTTTTTTTACAAACACCAAACAAAATAACACTTAATCTGATCAAAGCCCATTATTAAAAAGAGAAATATAAAAGTAAATCAGTATTTACTTTAGAATAACTTACGTATCCTCTATTGAGATACAGAGTAAAATTTATGGACCTTTTATKTTTAAAAGCTCTCAAAAATAATACTGAGAAACTATGTAATTATATTCCTGATTTATTTTAGCATGCCCCTATTATTCTACTTAAAAAGGAAGTATGCTTACCTGTATTTTCTGTTGGCATCTCTTTGTTTTCAGGAGCTTTTGAAAGAAAAAAAAAAGTTTATTCTGAATGCTTAAAAAAAAAGGCATTTCAAAGTTCCCGAGTCCCATATTTCTGAAAATTCACTAAATTTATGTGCTAGTCACAATTACTCTCCCAGAGAGATGGAGCTAAACATGTGTAAAACTCTAGTAGGATGACTGGGTCTTTCATTCTAAGAGCTTCTGATTTCCTCAGTCAGGATACCCAAAAAGACATGTAGAGATAGATTTCTGTTTCTTTGAAAAATGTTTTCAAATATGTTCATTTCTGAGAAACTCCCCACAGGATCCTTAGTTTTAAGGAGTTTTCTGAAAGGGGGTCTTGAGTGTTAGTGATGCATCATGAGCATTTTATTTGAGCTGAAAAGAGTTTTCCATTGTTGCAGCCCCTTCTGCCAGACACAACCATTCCATGTGGATGTGGTTCCTATGRTAATTGCACTTCCTGAACTTGGCAGGTAATAGAAAGGTGTACAGACATATGAAGTTTACCAAACAAAATATCCATGTTCTGAACTACTTTGATTTAGTCTCGGTAATTGACCTTATGCATTTTCTTACAGATGGTAATTTTTCTATCAGAATCCTTCCAGTGTTTTATTAATTATGATCCTATCATGCTGTAGATAAAGAGTGCCACAAGARTGTCATGGTATTCCTGTAATCCATCAGATCAGTGGTCAGTGAGAAAAGGAATCACCAATTCCAGCATTTCTATAAGACCATTTGTATTGCATTTTTCAGAACAAGATTTGTTCGAGAATATATTCAGCTGAAATTAAATGAAGTGTTGCTTTTGAGCTTGGCTTTCACCTAAACATAGAGGTCTGAAGTATTTATGGTTGCTGCATGGGACTGATGGTAGTTTTAGAGGACTTAGGGGAGATACGGCCTTCTGAGAAGGCAGTCGGAAGTCGTGTGGGGCTTGTAAGTATTTAGGCAGCCACATCCTGCCATTAGAGTCAATTGGTTTTGCACACAAACTTAGAATATTTTATATTTCTATGTTACACAATGAAAATACATTWTTAAACATTATTAACATTAATGCATTAGAAGTACTACTTACTTTTTAGTTTTTTACAGATATATCCTTTTTTGAAAGAACAGAATTTGGCTTTCCAGGAGCCAGACAATGCATCTAGTTCTCCACAGTCTTCAAGCCTTTTTTGTGAAGGTTCTCGCCATCCCCAGTTGACAAAATCCATTGCAGATTTATCTGTCCATACCCATCCTTTTAATATTAAAAATGAACATGTATGTATAAAATACATGGGCTTAGACAAATAGAATGAGTTGTGATGGAGAAAACAAAAGTTTATGACAGACTAGCTAGTTAAATGTTTCCATTATAATTTAAGCATATTTGGAAATAAACTTAGTGTATTTTTTATATATAGGTACTTTCATGTGTACAAAGTTGATTTCTTTTTAAATAACATATAATTTTGTATGATAGGGTAATRTATAWTTAAAGACATACTTCTGTCATCCTTCTTCAGCCCTATCCAAAAGTTCAGTGATTTTCCATGGAGTATCTTGATGGTTTCTGACASAAAGTTTCTTTCATTATAATCTCCTACYGATACCAAATCAGCACCTRAAAAAATATTGAGGAACACATCACAATTTTCCTAGAGCTCAAGTCAATAAACATGTAAAAATATGCAAAAGAATATAMAGACACCAACTCTTCCATATTATTCACTAGTCTTGTTGTGGGTATTATATCACTGTATTGGTTTTGGGGTTTTTTTTGAGCCTGAATGTGTGTTGTATGTATGCAAATCTATGGATTTTCTGGTATTTTCTGGATTTTTTTAGTTTTCGTATTTTAGAGAAGAATAATTGCTCTCCTGAAATACTTTTTGGACAGGTCCGACCACATCACAGATTGTGGTGCAAGTAGACTGAAAGAGGTGCATGTGATGTAGTCACCACCGTGCCTGTTGTCACTACAGCTTTGTTCCCCATCAGTGGCTGGGTGGCAGTTTTGGCAGTGCCTGATGATAACATCTGCAAGGTTAGGATTTGTCAGCAGCTTGCAGTCCAGAAGATGTTCAAAAGTTGATTTATAATTGCCATATGCTTTGTCATTGCAAATATACAAAGCTGTGTTRGGATCATCAGGAAATGACCACCTTCCTGTCCTGGCCAGTGGGTAACATGCAGGCAAAAGTGTAGGAATTTAGAACATGGAGCAGTGTCCGATTGTAACCTTTCATCCTGGTTATTAGTGTAATATTTATTTTGTAGTAGTTATGCGATTTATCTTTCTACAAAACCCCTTCAGGAATTCTGTTGTTGTACAGATGTAGARCAAAACACCTTTGCAAAGCTACTTTTTCTGTTTACTCAGTTATAGGTCAATGTTTTCAGATATATGAGGGAGTGCATTTAGAAATTTATAGGATGTTTCCTCACACTGAAATATGTGTTGCATCACACSAGTTCTCAGAAATGTGGAACAAAGTGCCTTTCCCTTCCCTGATGAACATACTGCTCCTCTGGCAATGCCAAGGCAGCATGGGGCTGTTTCAGAGTGGGAGCTGCATAGCTGGGTACGCTTTACCTGTTCTTGAAAGCTAAACAGCTCCTTCATCTCATCTGTTGTCCAGCCAGTGAGAGCCACCTAATGAACTGCGCCCTGGAACTAATAAACACAACTATCCTATGACTTTGTGTCTCCTAGATTATCCTGCGTGYGGATTCCCTCTTGTTTGGGGAAGGGAAAGTGAACCCTCCAGCCTGTGCCTTAGTGGGCCTGTAAAAGTGTTTATCTTCCTACCTAWTTACTTTTTTGTTGTAAAACTAGTAGGAATTTAATATTTTTAAGGTACTCATATTTCACCTGATACTGAGATATGAGATGCTCCTGTCTCTGACAAAGATTACTTTCATCATGCAAAAGCATGCTCAGAAAAGCAACCAAAAAAGCAATAAATGTGATTCAAAGTAATTCAAGATTTTCTTAGCAATATTATCCATTATTTTATATGTTTACTTGCATCATCAATCTTTCTAAGACAAAACACTCACCTAGTCGGGCACATTCGTCATGAGCTTGAGACCAGCTTCTTTTCTTGGAGGCCTCAAAGTAATAGCAGTGACCATGGAAAGGTATCCAAGATTTGTGTCCTCTTGATTCAGGGCATTTTCCAGGAAGTTGTGGGGGCTCAGTAGGGGCCAATACTGATAAGAGATCAGGTAGTTGGAGTCCAGCTATTTTAYAAATCTTGTTCCCATTTTACTAGTAAGACAAAACTAAACAGACTATGTTGGCTTTCTAGTCTTAGAAAAAAAATGAAGCCTGCTCTAAGAAGAGCTTGAATATGGTTCTGATTTTCTGTTTGAGACAATATTTCTTTCATATTTTTTTATCAATGTGATTAGGAAGATGCACTACTCTATAAGAAGCATAGATCCTGTCTCATGATTTTTTTTGTAATTAATCTAGTCAATAAAAAACATAGTTGCTTTTCTGGCATAAATACCTGCTTAACAAGCAAAACCTGCGGTTTTTAAAATGTCTTCTGACACTTCAGTCTCATTTTCTGACAGTATCAAAACCTTATAAAACTTTACAGCAGAAACTGTGATTGTAAATGGAAGTGTTGGTGTAACTAAGTGTAGCTTGCAGGATTTTTTTTTCAACTGCATCCTGAATACATTCCATAGTGTCTGATACAATAGGAAGATTTTGGATGGGTAGATAAATGCAAATATAATGTAAATTATATATTTTGCCAAATTACATTTTCTTCCTGTAARCCTTCTGCAGTCTGTTTCTTTCCCTGATAAGGAACAGTTAGCTCTCAAATGAGATTTCCAGAATAATTAAGTGGAAAGAGACATTATGTATGAATTCTGAGGATTTTTGCCAAATTAAAATATCTTAGAATGTAATTGGGCATGTAATTTTAMGTTTGCTAATGATTCAAGATCTTCCATAATGTTGACAAATTCAAGAATATAGCTAAATTGTGAAATCATATTTATACTTATTTCCATATAAATTATAGAAGTTTGTTGTTGGAAGGCTCCTCAAGGGATTATTTATTTCATCTTTGTACTMACAGGTGTCATGAAGTTGATATATTGTTTTTAACAGATATCTGTTCTTAGTAAGTTGTAGTGATGGAGATTCCCTGATCTATCCAGAGTATTTATTAAAGGCTTCTGCACTGATAAAATTAGAAGGTTTTCCGTGCTGTATTTAAGTCTGTTGCTCCTTTCCAACTTGTATCAGACATAGAGAAATATTAAATTCCGTCCCAAAAGGCTTATTTTTAATCCTTTGTTTCTTTGGCTTTTGGTAATTATTGTAAATCAATTAACTTTTAGAAAGGATTAATGTCAATATTTAGAACTGGTTAGCTGCTCCTAACTGCATTTATACTGGTGTATAAATGAWGTATTTTTCCAGTGGCTTATTCTATTTAGCAAAGTTGATAGCTCTACACAACCTCTAGTAAAAACACTTGTATTGAGTTACTTACCATCTGATTTTTTACAGACAGAGAAGAACTTTTCCTCACAAGAAGCTGTCTTCCAGGTGCCATCAGTGTCTAGGTAGACACATGCTAATGTTTGTTTTGGTTCTCCACTGGACCACTTGCTGTAAACTAAATTCCACCTGTCAATCCATTGATACTTGCCATTGGTCTGGAATTAAAATCTATATGGTAATTTCAAGGTTGCTTAGTGACATAGCTACTATATAGGATCCTCAAGGACTCTCATGGACCAGTATAGAATGATCTGTTTACTAGTGCCCCCTCTTAGCTTGTAAATGCTGACCACAGTGTCTGTCATGCACAAATGTGAATGTGCTCTGAAAGGTATTTAATGTTAATTCAGAGCATTTTTCAAGCATTGGGAAATTGTAGGGAAAAAGAAAGGCATAAAACTAGGAGTCAGTTAAGACATTGTGTTGTTATGACCACCCAGATGTCTGCATGTGAAATGGGAGTGGGTGGGGGAGTGTTCTTAAGCAACTCTGATCACCATCACTTCTGTTCTTGTTACTGTGATTCCTGATGAAAAGCGTAGCGTGTCAAAACACACCTACCATCCAAATGTTCACCCTTTCCTGTCATACAACAGGTGTAGACATCTCTCAAACATAAAGGATTATTTTTTCTATAATATTCTAACTTCTAATGGGAGCAATTACTCCAATTGCACTTTCAAATTGAAAAAATATAGCAATTGGTCAATATGTCATATCATATAGCCTCCTGATTCCTTTAATAAAATTTTTACCYATGCTGCTGTTCACAACCGTACTTTTCTATTGCTACCATAAATAAGACCACTCTAGCAAAATGTGTGAATATAAACATGCACAYAAAAACTGTTCCTTTTCAGTTCTCAGGTGTGTAACCTGTGATGCCTTGTCACTGATCACTGAGGTACAAACACATGGCAGGAGGGCAGGATGCGTGTTGTGCTTGGAATATCTTTTAGATTAAAACCAACTCAAAATGTAGGAGATTTTATAGTTTATATTTGAGATACTTTAAATGACTCTAAACAATTCACTACATTGTTATATACTTGTTTGCAGGAACATTTCTTTTTGCTAAAGGAAATCTCTATGAGTCTTATTTGAAGATTTCCAGTGCCAATGGCTGTACATCGATATAACGTGCTGTTTGCAGCACTTCACTGGCAGATACACCAATTCAAGATGAGAGCAWAAAGTAAAATCAGGTCCTATGTCAGATTGACTGCCTGTACGTGATGTGTTTGTTCTTACCATGTTGCTGTTAAGACCAATCCACAGAGGCTCTCCAACTTCGTCTGCAAGCAGGAACAACAGTGCCTGGCTAAATGCGTCTAAAATGCTGGCAAGTTCTGAGGCATTGTTCTGGCAGTTTTTGTGTGCTTCCTCCCAGTTCATTTTGGAATGGGTGACAGAATAGCTAATCCCACTAGAATGGTCAGAAGCAAAGCTCAGCACTGTTGCTGATGAATTAAAGAGTTCAGGATCTATAGGAAAAAGGAAAAGAAACCCCAAGAGCAGCTAAATCTAGAGTCACATATTTGACTTTAGCAACTGACTAACATCTTAATTATTTACAAATCTAGTATAAAATTGATAATGGAACGGAACATTTTCTTCTTAGCTGTTTATAATTATATACAAYTTCAAAACAACAGTTCTGGATAAAAGAAATATATTTTCAGCCTCTGACAATTTTGAATCAGTAAATGCTCATTATCTGATATTACATMATTCAAAAATAACACACCTGCCCTGCCTGTTTTTAAAATACTCTTTGCAGTTTAATGGCCATCAGGTTTATATGGATAAGTGTTAAACTTACTRGTTTTGATACTCTATAGATCATTATGAAGATATGTAATTAAAATGTTTGTGGGCTTCATCTATTCAATTACACGTTTAAATACAATAATTTTCCTATATTCTGCTATGTTTTCTCAAAAACGTTGCCAARTACACTGGGAGGCAGGATGGGCCCTCAGGTTTTATTGATCCTTTACCTAAAAAATGAAACAAACTGAAACAAAGGGGGAAAAAAAAACCCAAGAAAATTTTTTTTAATCCTTGTGTTATCATATTCGATTCACAATACAGAACTCACCACTATTCTTCTGGCATATGTACCCTTTGTACTTATAACACTCCTCATCGTTCCATTTTCCTGTGTCATCAGGAGGACCTCTCTTCAGAGAAACACAATCAAACTGTTGGAGTAAGGGAAAAAAAAAAGAGTATATTGATACCAGTAGCTATAATAGAAAATAGAGTAACTCCCTGAGCAGTTTCATTCTTTTTTAAAAAATTCTGATGTTTTATGGTACGTGTTATAACTCCAGAAACACCTTTYATTTATGACTGTCCTTCTGAACACCTTTTTGGTGGCCAGCTCCCCTGTTGGACACTCTTCAGCTCAACCTGCTTGTTCATTTGGTTATTTTCAAGGAGACATACATGAAAGGCATCGTCATTTTMAAAAAATTTCTTCCATATTATGTATTGCAACTAACATTTGACTATCAGTAAGATTTTGAATAAGAATGAAATGGTGGTCATGCTTTATATTTCATTTGCAAAGGCACCTTTAAATAGTGGTTTTTCTTGACAAAATCACCTAAATTACAGTACTTGGCAGAGCTCACATCAGCTCTTGTTCTTAGAATTTCTTATTCAGCTACACCAGATACRGTGACAAGTGCTTAAGAAGCTGGAACATCGAGTTTATTACAGMCTGCAATCTCCTACTAAGCCACCATGGGATAATTGCTGGTCCTTTGAAAACAATCCTCTGAAGGAGAGAGCTGTTAGTGTCTTGAAGGTGAAGGAGGAAAGCAGGATGTACCTTTGCACTTCTTTTTCCTGCTTGATATTTCCTAGAGTGTTATTTAGAGCTATGTAGTGTGCAGTGCTATTTATGTCTTCCTGCATGCCTTGACCAATGGCTACATGGRCAAGAACAACATGAATTTGCTCAGTGTAGATTGACCTGGTTGTCCAGATATATGATCCCTGGGTTCTCTGAAGATGTAGATWCCAAAATGAAGGGAGAATGGACAGWRTGGAATGACATAATGTGAAGGGCAAGTTTTGAAAGCAAGACATAGAATTAAATGGAAGATAGGCAATATGGGTGTGCAAACCAGTCTTTATTGGTATGGCTATGTAGAATGCTCTTTTATTTACAGCATTCTGAAGTTTAAGTTCAGTGCTAGCAATGTAAAGAGTTTGATGTGCTATGAAAGTCGCTGACATCTATTGGCTCTTAACAATTCAATTACAATTTTATATAGGGAAGAAGTTAAGAGTTGAACTCTTTCCTCTTACATACTCTCCTCCTTCATTCTTAGACATGACAATAACTCTGCATCAACTTCTACAATTCTAATGTTGCATTTGTATTCTCTGAAAATGAACAACAGATTACTATATAAAGAAAATTTTATTCAGTATATCCAATCTTTATTTGATTGACCATTAATGCAATTGTGCCAAATACTTTGACAAAATTGCAACAGCACCATTTTATGCTCTSAGATAGCTAGAATACTCAAACAGTGAAAGGCTTTTAAGACAAGTCCCAGTGTAAAGATAGATGAACAATTAGTGGAGAAGGCTGGGGCAATGTGTGAAGTGAGCTGTTTACTTGTAGCAGTATTACTCCTCAGATTTAGTCTTCATGCAAAGAYTTAGTCTTTAGTCTGAGCAATATTTACCTGTTGAAGATTTCGGCCGTTTTCTGGTTGAAGAGTGTCAAACAAAACAGGTTCKACAAGTTTTGGGGAATCTTTAGCCCAGTTTGTGTATGAAACAGCACTTCCATCTGACCAAACAAAGTTGAGTTCACTGAGTMTATCATTCAAGCCAATCCAAGGATCACTTGAAACATCCTTCAATTTGTAGGTGAGAAAAGCTAGAAACAGAAAACAGAAAAGAAAATTAATGTGTCATGTCATCAGTCAAAATGTCAACTCATAAAGAAATACTTAACTATTTTGTTCCCTAAAGTCTTGTAAAAGCATTTTGCTTACCATTTGATCAGAAATTTACCTGAGTTCATTATTTCGAAGTTATGGCAAGCCCTTGCCCATAAAAAGTCTCAAAAGAGTTAAAGTATTTGGAAACAATGAAGCAAGATTGGAAGGAAGAAAGAAACAAAAAACCTATCTGACCACCATGACAGCTAATAAAGTCATGTATATCAAGTCAGGATGAGCTATTTGACTGATRGAAATGTGTGGCTATATGCAGCTGCAAATGGAAGCCAGGGARCATGTGGAGGCAAGGTGAGAATGTGGCATTCTCTGACATTCTACTGAATAAAGTTGCAGAATTTAGGCAGAGGTATAGAAGAATATCCCTTTCTATTTCTGGCAGAAACATTCCGTGCATAATTTTTTTATTCTCTGTGTCTAAAGCTACAAATGCCAGATCTGGTATTTTAATTTTATRCTAATCCACACCTATAAATAATGCAAGACACTTTACATGGAACAAGAGGAAGCAACCCTTAGCATCACTTAGCGTGTCCCAAAAAGATTGTGAAGTTCTAAAAATGTTTCATGCCATGTCCAAATAACCGATGTTGAGTATACATATTATAAAATAGATGCATTTACATATTGACTCTTCCCTTCTTTGCAGGAAATGTCCACTGTATACACAATAAAGGCTCTCTATTACCTAAGGGACTGTTGGACTATTACCTTGGACTTGTTCATTTTGTATGCTTGCCAGGTTTCCTCCAAGCCTCGTGCAAGCTATCCTTGCAGCAGCCCAGGAATGATAGGAAGAGCCAAAAAATTTATAACACTAGGGGAAAACAAATATAGATTGTTAGAGTGACAGCAAAAGAAATTTAGGTATGAATTGCCCTAGTTTGAATAAAAATTAGTCTAACTCAGACCCACAACATATTTTTTAAAAGTTGACTTTGCTCCAGAGCCAAGTCAAAATGATTCTCAAGTTTTAAATTTGCTTTCTGTCTTTCTGGAAGGGACTGAGAGATCACAACAAAACTCAAATAGCTATTTACAAACTCAATAGAAATCTGATGAGAATCTAATGTGTTAGCTCAGAGATTCTGAGGCCATATGCCACCACAAGTGAAGAACAATGTGCTGACTCTACAGGAAAAGCTCAGCACAAGTGTGGAATTGCCTGAACTTTCTGAAAAACTTATTTGGCCTAGGGTCTATGGTCTCATGTGTGAATTCATCCTCTCTCATTGTACAGCTCTTTTATTAAAGGAAGTTTGTGACTMATTTCTTACAAAGTGTGTAGCCACTACATTACATATACATATACATCCTAAAAGGTTCTGTTAATTATGAGTGGGCTTTGTGTGGCCTCTCCATGTTTGCAGYTCACCCTCTGCTCTGTGGCATGCCAATAACACAGTCAGAAAATTATCTTGCAAGTTTTATTTTAGACTGCAACCTGGCATAAACTCACCTGGTGTGATATCCATGRATGTCTCCATAACAATACTGTATATATCAGGAAATAGAACCTTTGCTTATTGAGCACATGAAGTTTGTCCCTTTTGGGAAGAGGCAAGCATTACATTGAAACCTGTTTGGAAATCTTAGTCTATTTCTGATTTGTTCCATCTCAAATGACTGGGTTTGTGCTATACCTGGTGCTTTCAGATAAATTCAGTTCATTTTTTTTAACATATATATATACATATATACCTATATACATATATGTGATATAACAGTTTTCCCAAGGTACCTCAGGTGACCACCTCTCAGGAAAACAATTTAAAATCTGTTAACCCACCATTTTGCAGTAATTAGCCAACAGGTTCATTTTTTAATGCAACTGACAAAAGATATTTGAGTCAAAAAACGCCTCTTRTATATCTCTAAGTACTTTACCAAGGAGTAATATCAATGTACTTAGATGAAAGTTATACCTTATTTTTAAATAAAATCCAGTCTGCAGGACATCCTCCAGGAGYTGAAGGTACTGCTGAAGGGAGAGTTGCATTTGTAAAACTTCTGTGCCTTTCACAGATATAGCCATTGGAAAWACCACAGTTGACATCGTTCCACAAGCCTGAAATCAGTTACAGTTTAGRTAATAGGACACTGAATAAGACAGAAATTTGTGGGAAAGTGAACTAGCTTCTGGGCTTATAAATTCAAAAGCAATCCACCTGGGCATGTGGAATAACCTGCATTGGCTCAACTCTACTTCCTATTATCACTATATACAGGGGCACTTTGGTCCTGCTGTGGTTGGGAGAGAAATGGCCAGCTGAGATGGCCTCTGAGTGGAACCCTCCCAAATAGTTTTGTTGCACTGAAAGGTGCAAGTATAAAATAATGSATTAGCAGTGAAAGCACTGGAGAATGTGAAACTCCATATATATCCTATTTTTTTGCTAACTATTCTCTTACTATTAAAAAAAAAGATCTAATCATTAAAAACAAACTATAAAATATTATTATAAATTAAAATATTCTTTATTATTAAGAAACATTTAAAACAATTGTTATGTAATTATAATTATTAAAAATAATTGCTGTTGATTTGAATGTAGCATTCTCTTTGTGCAGCTGAAACATCAGTTATCAAATTGCTGCTGCATTCCCCGTTAAAATCAATACCTTACATTCCATTTTTATGGCTAATATTGCTCCTGAAGAAACCTCAGATATAATGACTGATCTTTATTATGCATATTTCTAAAAATGGCTGGTAAAGAATGGGTGAAATCGAGGAGGGGTTTTTGAACAAACATTGGAAGAGCATGACCCATAAAATTACTTTACAAATCAGCGTTGTGAACTCACCATCTTTTTTATTTAAGACCACACAATGTTCTTGACCTCTAAAGTTGGGCTCACCCAGTGCCCAGGCTGCATAGTGCACTGGGCTTCCACTCATCCAACTGAAAAACAGTAGTGGTTGCTCAGACAACGTCCATGAAACACTTCAGAAAAATCTTCCTTAACATGCTAAATATATTTAAAAAAAAAAAACCAGCTGAGTTTGTCTGTAAATTGAGTTTCCATTAGGAYTAAAAGATCTTAGAAAATTGAATCCATGCATATCAAGTCAAAGACAAAAATACCTTTCTTTTTAACAGATATTWTCTTCATATTCATAGCATATATATCCCCTATAAAAATTCAGTTTAGAACAGAGTTTGTACAATGTAGTTTAATCAAAGTAGAGCACACTTTTCAACATGCATTATCACTTACCAAGTCTGTGTTTAACTCCTTTGCAGTGGTTTCTCCAGAAGGAACTCTGACAGTGCAAYACTCCTACAACCACCCTTTATGGATCTTGATGTAGCTCATTTACCTACCTGAACTGGTTTTCAGCATTCTGAATCAATCCTATGAGATATGAGTCCAGTTTGCCATTTTTTAGGATCTAAACGTAAAAATATATTTTTAACTAGTGTTTTCCAATACTTATTAGTTATCTAATACMAAAAAAAGTGTAAATTTTGTGCTGTGGAAGCAAAGAGATGAATACATATTGTTTAAATGATTCACAGTCTCCTGAGATATCATACACCAAATAATTTTGCTTTATTGTTTTTATTGGCRCATTCCCATTTTTGTCTTCATTACTGGTATGATCAAAGCTTTCAAAGTTCTGTTCTCAATTTAAAACAAAAGCCAAAGAAGGCTCAAGAAAAGCAATTTAGTATACAATTTTTGATACTTTCCTGGTTTTAAGAAGCTATGTGATTCTTGTGTTTCTAGCTGTCCGAGCTCTCCTCCTGTCACCATGCTTTCTCACATAATAAAAGCAAATATCTAACAGTATGAATCAGAAGGGTGATGGTGTGGTATCCGCAAATCAAGCAGGATTATGGCAGAGGTTTGAGGCACCATCCATGCTATTTAGTTGTTATCATTACCCTGATATGCTTCGGTCATGGTGCAGGAAAACTAATCCACAAAAGATTGTTTGGATGATCAATCCAAACCTGGACCAAGCTAAACCTTTCTTTGAAAAGCTGTTTTGGAGATCAGCATGACCATCAGATAGGATCATCAAAGCTACACTGGCAGTTGCCTCACATCTATGTGCAGCACTCTAGGACATGATATTCAGATGAGAGGTAACCACCTGTCAAAAGGAGAGTTTTCTGAGAAYACATTTACCTTGCTTGTTCATTGCTCCTTATATATTTGGTCACAGGCAGAATTCCATTCAGATTAGAATACATAACATTATACCCATGCTAGTAAACAGTAAATTTTTCTGTATTTTTCTAAAGTGAAGATTCATTTTGTAGGATAAATATTTTTTCATARAATATATAAATCTAATTCTAATTAAATGTAGTAATATTATGGAAAAAGCACATTTTTCTGTACTTCACAAACAGACAATATATATAGAGGTATATAAGYGCTATAGTGTATAACAAAATAAAATTTCTCCTTACGTATTTCCACAAAAATTTTCTTTCACTATTATTTCCAATAGTAGCAAGATGTCCGTGATTGTTTTTGCAGAATGTTSTGGCTTTCTCCATAGAGGTCTTTTCTGTGCTGAAAAAATATTGTTTGTCTCCTTTTACAATCCAGCCATCTTCTATGACTTCATATGCTGCAATACAGAAGAGAAATCTCTGCGTTCTTCACTGTYCTTAAGCAAGGCAGGTGATGTTATATTGCACCACCCTTTAGATAAGTGAAAATAGACAGAAGCTTACTGGCAGAAGGGCCTGGAGGTTCTGGTTTCAAGGGTATCCCTGTAATGAAATGGGGTAAAAAAAGGATGTAAAACATTTCAACATTTAAGTGTTCAATTAATGGAAATTATTTTAATTTTTATTAATTGTTCACATTTTACATATTCAATGCAGAATATATTTATGTAGTACCTTTGGTGMAAAGGCAAAAATGGATGTTCAGGGAATAAAAGGTTCATTACAGGTCTATATCTTTGTCATGGTAGATTTTTGGTAAGTGCATCTTGTACATCCTGAATGGTGCCTATTGGATGACTGAAGTTAYTCTGACTGAATACTTGTCTCTGAAAGAATACTAAATAGTGAATATCCTTCAGTGTTGGTAGACTTTGAACAATTCTTTATGGATATTGTCTTGTATTTTAACAAGAAGTTCAAATACTAAACAAAGTTTTGCTTCAAACTATTTTACCTTTTATCAGTATTTATTTGTTTGTGAAACTTCTTTTTTTTCTGTGAAGCTGCTTTGAGAAGAATTGCATTACTAATTTTGAAAAATAATTTAAATGAAAAGTTTCCACATCCCATGGAGTGTGATATCGGAGCAGTGTTTCTCTACACATGCAAGTCCAAGAGCTATAAAAGTGTAAAACAAGTATCAGTTTTACAATATCAAGGCCATCTGAATTGGGCTTTGAGCAATCCTGTCAATGGCTGGATGATCTTTAAGGTCCTTTCCAACTCAAACCGTTCTGTGATTCTATGGGTTTTTTTCCCACAGGAATTTATTGCAATGTTTGTGTTGCTGTATGTGTAATTACACTTTATTAAGTGTATGCACGTGTATATGCACGGGTTTAAAAATAAATATGTCAGCTTTTAAAAATAATCTGTTCTATGTTTGTTTACAAGTTTTAAAAGAAAATGGTTACAAGATTTAAAAGAAGAAAACCCTAACAGATCTGTTCTGGAAGTACAAAGTRTTATATCTATTTCAACATCTTTCAGCATACCATTATACAATGCTGACTAATGATGGCAATTTCTTTAGCCTATGATTTCTGCCATTTATATATTACTAATAATTAACAGTAAACAGCTACTATTGACACTTTTGCTGATGATTTTTAGCTGTGGGGGTCATACAGGTGAAAACTCACAAACAAATTTACCAGGAAAAGTATCTTTACAATGCATCTTGGAGGTAGAACTCTATGACTATTGCTTTTTATGAGTATGAGAAGCTGAGAGTATGTGCCTTGGCTAGGATTAGATTATTTTGAATATTTCAGCAGCACAGAAATGATGGTTTTTAGAAAAGTATCAGTTGAAACTGAAGGAGCCCAGGGAGCCACCAAAGGAATATTGCTGTAAGTCTGGGAAGTAAAATATGTAGCCCAACACATAGCTATAACTGATTCCTCTCTAATTTCACTGAATATTTGTTTCAACAATACCTGAGAAAAAAACCCACATAAATAGAGAAGATGTTTCTACTAGTATGAGAGGAAGATAATGAGCTTGTATTAAAGAATGAAGTATTTTGAAACTTGCATTACCATCTCTTTGTTGCAACAAGCCTGTTGTTACAGGCTTGTCTATACATGTCATCTTACAAAAAGACTGATTCTATGATGCTGGTAGTGTTGTTTAATTTAGAGTAGGTGACTAATGTGTTGTTGTGCASCAACATCTGAGCAGAAGAGTGAAGTTTTGCTTCACAAACGATATGGAAATTTAAAATAATATTTTTATTCTGTTTTTTCTTTTTTTTTCCAAATTGTAGTAATCTCTGTCAGCCAGAACTTCTGTTTTGGCAAAAATCTGCTTTTATGCAGAGCAGTGAATATTGCAAGGCAATCTCTTGATACTGCTTTCATTTTATTTTGTATTATTACATAATTACATAAAGAAATTCAATTTCAGTAAAGCTGATCATGGAATATACGTTTTATAATGAAACAAAACTTTCATTGTTAACAGATTAAATCTTGTGTTTCAAAGGTATTTATATTCTTGACCTACTTTTCTGTGTACAAAATTCCTGTGACATCAACCAAATTTTCTGCCAGTAAGTAACTTGTAGAGCTTCCAGTTTTGACAGAATGGATCCAGCTTGAATTTTTTCCTAAGGTGAGTCTAGGGTAAAAAGTAACCTACCTTTCTTTATTTCACAGATCCAATTGTGACTGTATTCACAGTGCTCCTTAATCCATGTTGGCAAAGGCTTTTCACTGATTGCTCCACAAACTTGAAATTCAGGATAGTAAAACTCATTTTTTGCTTCATAATTCACCTACAGAGAAAAAAATTCCTGTGGGTTTTTTTATTCTTATCTACATGGGAAAAAACTGTGCTCTGTAAGAAATGAGAAATAGAGCAAAAGTTTCAAACCATTCCTTTTCTCCTCTGGCTGTGAAGCCAATGTGAGCTATTAATTTAATTACAAACATTCTGCAAGAGGAAAGAAAGGCTCTGAGTTTAYGCAGTATCTAAAAGACTGCAGCAATCCCATAAAAGCTGGAATCAAATGAGATTATAAATAAAAAGCAGGAAAAAGGAATATGGCAATTTATGACCWGAGACTAACAAAAGTAAAGAGACCTTTCTCCTGTATTTGTGACTTGGATAATCATCTGTGTTGTTGAAAATAGTCCTCTGTCTTATCACTCTTGTGATGGTATAACCTCATGGTTAATTGGCCTTTTTTGTTTCTGTTSAATCCAGTATGAAGAGTAATGATGCAAAGTTACCCAGTTGCAAAATAGGCATTTTCAGAAATTCTTATGCAGTTTCCATACACACAATGGAAACTTCTCAACAGAAAAAAACAGAACAGAAGGAAACCGGCGTGGTGAAAACTCACCGGCGATCCATCACTCCAGGAAAGCCCACCATCAGGATCCAAATTCTGCAAACCTATCCAGAAAGGCTGAAATGATGGGGATTTCTTCCTAGAGTGTGAAAAAAATGTATCATGAAAGAGGATATATATGGTTAGTTCTGTTCAGTTTAAAAATTTACATGGGACAATAACTCTTAGACAATTATTGAACACTTCAAATACAGCAGAAATTTTAAAACGTACTTTGGTCAACAAGCTCCCATTGGCAAGTAAGTGAATTTTACACCTTAAAATTTCCTGCTTTGCAAATGGTTTTATTGAAAACATAGCACATTGTTTTTCTACACTGATTTTATGATTGTAGTGTTCTTTCAGAAATAAAATGTTCAGGGCTGCTGGAAGACAAAATTTAGCTTCAAAATAATTCACTAAACAAACTCAGAATAAGGCTTGAGRAAAAACATTCAACAACTTTTGTTGTTGGGCTAATTTTTAACTGAATTTAAAATGTTTGCAGATTATGACAAATTTTAGGAACTCCAAAGATTTCTTTGAAAACATTACCCATATGATACATTTTCTCAGTTATTTTTCTTTTTATTATGATGAAAAACAGATAGATTTTAAAATAAAGCAACACAAGAATATTATAATTTATTACAACATAATGTGTTGTTACACCAGTATCTCAATTATTAGAGATAATAATTTTGCTTGCTTACTTTAATAAATTTTCTATCACTGTTTGCTCTTCTTCACTTCTAATGGCAGCCAGGTCTCCTCCTATTTCTCTGCAAAAATCTCGGGCTTCAAGCCATGTTTTCATTTGTTGTTCCCTTACAAAGCCCTGTGGATGCAGGTAGAACACTATTTTCAGTGTGCTAAACATAAATCTGCTGTAGACCTTGCACAAGAAAAATAGGTAAACCTCCCATTACTACTTCCAGTGGATATAATTATCCATTATAATATGGATTAAAAAGTGTTAGGTTAACCTTACATATCACTGGTAGAGTGAAAACTGCAGTGATATTTGAATTGTTGTGTAAAAGCTTGCTACATTTGTGCTCTCACATGCCATTCTGTGAGGTTTAGATTACCTATTTGGTGCTCTCCTGTCTCACGAGTAGGATTATGGCAAAAAACAATACTTACTCTGAAGCACGAATTAGTTCTGTTGCTTGTATCCCAACCCGAGGGGCATTTGAAATCAGAAGTGGTTTCAGGAGCATCGGGAACAGTAACTTTGTCAGCTAATTTTTTGCAGAGAAACTTTGCCTTCACATCACAGTTCTGAACATCCCATAGTCCAGCTGCATTTCCAGTCCTAAGGGCAACACAACCAGCTTCCTTTCCTTTGTGAGACACAAAACAAAGTTGAAATGTGTTTTAAAGAAGGTCCCTTGACATTTTAACAGCTCATGTGATTAATTTACAATGGACTATTTGCAATATGAAGTGTAGTGTCCATTCAGAGGAGGAGTTTTGTAAAAAGAGAAAAGCAGCAAGCTGAGTCCTTCATCATCTTCCCTTCCCTTGCCTGCCTCTTTCCTGTGCCACTCATGCCAAGGGTTTGGCAGCCCATTGCCAAGGCTGGAAGGCATTTCCAGCCTCCATTTGATTTTGCTCTTGTAAACAATGTGGAGTAAGAAAATAAGTATTTTCATGACATCACAGATAATTATAGAGTAATTTAGGTTGGAAAAGATCTGTAAGATCATAGAGTACAACCATTAACACAGCACCGCCTGTAAACATCTCCAGGGATGGTGATTCCACCACTTCCCTGGGTAGCCTATTCCAAGGCCTGACGCCCCTTTCTGTGAAGAAATCTTGCCTAATATCCAATATAAAGCTCTCCTGATAGAACTTGAGACAATTTCCTCTTCCCCTATTACTTGTTACTTGGGAGAAGAGACTGATCTCCACCTCACTACAACCTCCTTTCAGGCAGTTATGTTTTCTCTGAGCCTCCTTTTGTCCAGGCTAAACACCCCCAGTTCTCTCAGCCACTCCTCATTAAACTCAAATTCCAAACCCTTCACCAACTTTGCTGACCTTCTCTGGACAACACTGCGGCATCTCCATGTTTTTCTTGTAGTGGGGGGCCCAAAACTGAACCCAGGATTCAAGTTGCAGCCTCACTCAACCCAAATACATCTATCAAAGACACTCAGTTTCAAAGGCAGATTGTTTATATCTGTCACCATGGATTTATCAAAGCTGGAAACCAGTTTAGAATTAGGGAACACAGAAAGTTCCTTAGGAGTGAAGATTTAGTCCAATGGTAGAGTACCAGGCATTGCTGCGTTCCAGTTTGTGTACAGAGCACCTTCACCAGTCACCCACTTGAAACTCCCAGGCTCTTCCATGTCTGAGACACCAATCCAAAAAAGCTTCTCAGATCTCAGACCAATGAGGCTGGTCAGGTAGGCTTGCTCATACCTGAAATGACAGGAGTCAGCTGAGATTAAGCCTAACTTTCCTTCTGTCTTGCACTCCTCAGCATCCCAAACTTCACACAGCTAGAATAAACAGATTCTCCATTAGATTTCCTCTTATGGGGGATATGTTGTTTAACTGGGTCCCAGATGCACTGGCTGCAATGGAGGTGAAGCTTTATTATCCTGAAAAACTGCTCCTGACACAGCAGAAGTTACTSTTGTCTGTTCTTTCAAAGTAAAGTACTGGAAAACATTGATGTGTACATTATTTTTAGTTAAAAAAGCCATACTGTGTTTATTCACCTTTTTGTTTTTTTCAGAAAAAGTCTGAGGGTTTTTTTTTTGTTTTCTTTCTTTTTTCCAAAAGTTGTCAACTATTTTTTAAAATTTCAGTATTATTGCATCAGATATACAGTTTTTAAGCTCTTTTCATACCTGTCTCCTATAGTTGCTAAATAACCACTGCTCCTTTCACAAGTTTTCTTTGCTTCTGAAAATGTTACAGAGGTATGTCCAACCAGGTAGCAGTAAAAACTGTATCTTTCCCAACCCTGTCAAGAACACATGAAATATACTTACAGTTAAAAAAGCATATATTCTAATACTTGCATACTCATAAAACAACATATTTTAATATRAATTAATTTATGTATTAATTTGATCTCCAGTGGAAGTTTCCATTGAGCACAATGAGTCTCAGCTCTGTTYCCCATATGGACTTGTGGGAAAGGTTACTAAATATAGAATAGTAAATAAGAAAGCAAAAAGAGGGGAAAGAGAAGGGGAAAAGAGCTATAGGATACAATAACTTGCTCAGAACAAATCCAGTCATAAAATGGATTTTATTGTTTTGATTTGGCTCCAGTAGTGAGATTTGTCATCATCTTTCATCATGCCACATAGTCTAGAAATTGTTACCATTCCCTACTACATGCTTGATAACCATGGATGGCTGCAAAACAATACAACATCTATGCAGAAAACCACAGGAATGGCTTTAGCCCCTTTCACAGACAGTTCTGAGAGGTAACTTATTATTCCTTATGTGGGAATGTAGTGGAAATTATCATGCTGAATTTGGTGTACAATAACACTTATTAGGCAAGACACAAAAAAAAAAAAAAGTTGTTTCAGTGTCAAGTGGAGCTTGTGAAATTTTGCTCACCAGATTCTTGGCTATGCTTTCTTCKTACCTTTGGGCAGGCAGGATCAGTCTTTGCTGTCCCAGAAACTCCTTGTACTGGGTCTCTTCTGCAGATGTAGCCAAACTTCCTGTCACAGGCACTGTCTGCCCAGTATCCATCCTATTTGCGGTGTGGGAAGAGGTGAAAAACTGAGGCACAACCTGTTTCCTTTAGAAACATTATCATTCTTTTGAAAATACTGTTTCATTGTGAAGATTGGTACTTTTTAATGGATTCCAAGTATTTGAGCTTTGAGGTGAGGTTTCATTAAGTGGYGTGGCCAGACTATTAAGGTTCACTTGGTATATAATGGACACTCACAATCAGATATCAACATTTACAGGTTGTGTGTAATTTCATTTCAAATTTAATGTAGAACAACTGTATGTCTGAGTGAATAAAGTTAACATGCTTTGATTCTTTGCAACTTAACAACTATGCTAAGGTGCATAAAAAAAACTCCCTAGAAATATAACCAAAACTCATATTGTACARCTCTGTATGAATCATGTGGAATGTTTCACCTTTCCTGCCATAATGACACAATCTTCTTGGCCAATGGCTTCATGGGTTGGTTCTCCAGGCAGCCAYTTGGTATATGTCACAGGAGTCCCATCACTCCACTCAAAGAACATTTGAGTTTTGAGGTCGTTCAGACCAATCCACAACACATCCACAGCTTCTAAGGACAGAAATTAWTCTGTGTTATTAAACTGAAACTGTTCATAGGAGCGAGGTTTTATGGAGATGAGCTGAAACTGCAACATTGCAATGCAAATTTATCTGTATCAAAAGACAGAGGAGTTTATTTTAAAATGTAATTCACATTCTTTGTTCAAGTTGAAAATGAGATACTAGCAGGAAATGAGATTCCTTAGCCTTATCAGTCAAGTCCATTAATGTACCTACAACTACAAGRTGTCTGATGCAGATAATTCACTCAAATGCACTAACTGGAGCTGTTATTTCTTTCAAGTGATTTCATGTGGTGAAAAACAAATGAAAATCAAAATTAAAAGAATGAAAATGAAAATTAAGGTAGCATAATGATTCCTCATTGCTTTTCTGGCATTTAAGTTTTTTTCTAACCTATATATGTGTGGCCTTCCCTATAAATGTCCATAACAAACAAGCAAGAATAATTTTATTCAAATCCTGAAAGAGTTCTATTGGTATAGCTCTCTATTTGTACCAAACAGTGCTCTGTGCAAATACTCACTGTAGCCAAGCTGAGACAGTATGAAGCCATGCTCCTCAGGGTTGTGGATACTGGCCAGGCTGCCATTTCTCTCATTGCAGGAAATCAAGGCTTCTCCCCATTCTTTGGGATCTCTATGAATCATGAAACAGTGACCTCCATAGGGCAGCCAGTCTTCTGCGCATTTAACAGGCTCTAAATCCCCTCAAAATCAATAGATATTTCAAGTTTTTAAACAATGCAAACTGAAGTCTAGAATAACTAAAATTACATTTAAAATCACCTAATTAACTCATGAGATGGAAAATGAAGTGGTAACAAGCAGAACTTCATTCCTCACATATATTTTGGTGTGGATGTGGTTGCTCACTGTACTTTTACAGAAACCATAYTGCATTCAAACAAAAGAGGAAAAGACTGGAGCCAGTTGTTACTGGGCTTCAGTAGTCTGAAGTTTTCACTAGCCAGTGGAATATTTTGGAATTTCATATGTAGTATTTCCACCCAAATGTGTTTTTCCTATTTCAAAAAGGCGTTATACTGCAGAAAAAAAATTCCTCTGCACTCAAGACTTTCCATGCTAACTCTCATTAAATAAATCAGAGAGAAGTATAGCAGAAAGGTGGTCCAAAGAAGTTGCTCTTTTTTGCCATCTTCCTAGATTACAGGCAACCCCACCAAAAAGTTGCTTTGAGTCTACTGGTGCCATTTTTCCAAGCCTTCTGTGACCTCAGTGTTTCCATTAGAATGCCCTGCAGGAAGGGTGAGGCATCTCTAACTTTCTTTTCATGTCCATGCAGACCATGCTACTCTCATGGMAGTGTATGGCTTAACTCAGTGCCTCTGGAATTTTGAATAATAACATGAAGTAAAAAATGCTTGTGTGACTCCAGGAACATTTTCAGTATTTGAATGTATTT